TTGCCTTATTTCACTTATTCAAAGCATTAATGTTCTCTTGGGTATCTTAAAGTAAAAGGATTAGGTTTAGAAGTAGTAAATACATTTGTACCCTTACATTGTGAATAAAATATCTAAGTTCCTTTCTCAGTCAATATTAATGAGATCCAGTTACATTGAATATGTAAGCAAGCAGATAAACTGGATTAGACATAATTAATCTGAATATAAATGCATTCATACAATATGCAAGGTGAATTATTAATACTGTCATGCATATTTAAAATTAAAATGAATTTGTTTACCACATAATATAATAAATCTCAATCGAACAAGAGATCATTATCATTATTGGTGAACAATCCCTTTTAATTAATGTGGGTCCCTCAACTCTGTAGCATAATAAATCAACCAATCAATATGTCAATAACTTATCATGTTGGAGGAGTTCATTATTACTATTGTAGAGATTCATTTGCTATTAGGTGAGAACTTCCATTAAAATAATATGTGGGTCCCTTAACCACTGCATGAAAAATCGGATAACCAATACACCAATAACTTATTCGGTTGGCGAAGTTCATTATTGTTATTGGCGGGCAAATCCCATCATCTCCATATTTCTTAAGACAATGTCTTGTCTATCTATATGAAATAATTCCCGATTATGTTTAGCCTTTCTAAAATCACCTAGTGTAGACCACTTCGTTGGGGAGCTAACACTATTGATTTTAGATTGAGTGTATAACGTTATTAAAGCTCTAATAAAAAATAAAACATTAAATATCTTGTCATTATAATCTAGATTCTTTAAATCATGCGTAGGGCCTTATTTTTAAAGATCTAATTACAATGAACATTTAATATTATTATTTTTATGAGATAACCATTCTTGTAATATTAAGACTCTTCAAATCATGCGTGGGGCCTTATTTTTGAAGATATAATTACAATGGTGTTAATAACGAAGGCCATGGGGCAATGTATAAAAATTCCCCCTCCCACTCAATTTTTAATCATTCATAATTAGGGTTTTCATTTTATTCATTTACATGATATAATGCATGCAAAATGTCTTGATTTTAATCCAATTAAATTTAGAAAATAATTGGACTTTTAAATGATTCACTAATATTTAATTGGAGGCACACTTTAAAAATAATTTTCAAAAATAATTTTTCGTTTCCCAATAAGTGCCATCAAATTAATTAGTAATCTAATCCAATTAATTTTCATAATTTAATTAATGTAAATCAAGCCATTTAAATAAATATCATGGATCCAATGCATGAATAATAATTAATTAACAATTATATATTCCATGCATTTCATACATTGCATAAATAAATAAATAACAGATAAAACAAATAAAACGGCCAATGGAATCAGCTTTTAACATTTAATTACTCTAACTATCGCGGGAAGATCATCCATCGGCTTGCAAATACCCACATAAGGCTGGTACGCACCAGGAGAAGCAAAACACCGCTTAGAACGCGCCTGGAGGGCCCCACACGCGCCTGGGGTATGCTGCAGGTGAAGGCACACGCCCCCACGCGCTGGCACGCTCCTGGGGCGCCTGGGACGCGCCTCCACGCGCCTGCACGCGCGTGGAAGCCATACAACCTTGGCTGGCGCGTGCAATGCACGCGCCAGCATATGTCACCTCCTGGCGTGTGTTCCTCACGCGCCAGGCTCACCCCACATGCACTACATCTGATTTCAGCCTCCTCCGACGCCTCTTCTCGCCGCCAACGATGCTCCGGCCACCGGAAAAACGCCGAAAAATTCCAGAAAAATCAGAAAAATTCCCAGAAAATTAAATTAAGTCTCAAAAAATTCCAGAAAAATTCCAAAAAATTCGGAAAAATTCCAGAAAATTACTGAAGCATAATTTAACCCTTTTGGACCTTCTTGAAGCTTCATAGCATCCTTTGATGAATATTACATGGCTTTAAAAATATTTACAACTTGAAATACAATGGGAAAAATAAATTACATCATTGAACCTTCAAACGGCTAAATCAAAGCCTTAATTACATTCATCCAAAGATAAAATTACATTCAATATTCCTATAAGCTTCATCCATGGCCCAACCATACATAACATTCATTCACAATTATTCATACATCATCATGTATCAATATATATCAACATATTAAATCATACATCAACATACATCAATAAAAATATATATGAATATAATTTTGGATCCATGAATGATGATTTTCATAAAATCATGATCTCTAGTAATGAATCAAACCATGCTCTGATACCACTGTTGGGAAACGTGCAAGTTTTAAAAACTTTTCGAGGGATTTTGATTCATAGATCTTGATTCATCACATAAAGACAAGTTTTACGCAAAAATAAAAATATGATGTGTTATTCAATTAACAGATTGAATACTTACATCAAAGGTCTGAGTAAACCTTTAAAACTTTCCTCTAAAGTGAATGTTCTCACTTATTGTAGATCCCTTAGCAAGATGCCTTCTTCTTAGATCTCCATCTTTTTGGTAATTGTTTTGCCTTTAGGAATCACTCATAAGCCTCCATGAATGACCTTGGAAAACTAGGCTTGTGGGAGCCTCCATTAGATGAGAACATAAACCCTAATTTTCTAGAGAGAGAAAATAAATTCCTTTTTCCTTCTCATTAAAAATCACCCCCTAAAATATACATAGACCATGTATATTTATAGGCAACATAAAAATAAAGAAAAGGAAACAACAAATCCTTCTCCATCTCTAATTCATATGTCTCAAATCTAATATGATTCCAATATCAAGTTGGGCTATGAGTGAGAATCCATTGGGCCTATTATTTTATTAGTTACAATGAATTAATAATTGGCCCGGTCCATGGACCCAATTCAATTAATTCATAAATTAATTTCTACTCCACTAAAAGAAATTAATTGAACTCCAATTAAATAATAAATAACCTCTAAGTCAATATTGCACTTTGACCCCTCTATACATAATTAGTTATCGGATAAATAAAGCCATCAATCCGACTACTTAATTAATATATCTATTTTGGTACCTCTGATTATTTCTGACTCGATCACAATAAAACATTTGTTTGACAAAAATAATAATTTAAATAAATAAATATATAATAAATCATTTTGTCTAAAAGCACACGAAGGCCTTCGAATTTACTTTGTGATCAACCATAATCAATACAAAATAAATACAAGTAGCAATGATGCAAATATTGAAAATATAACCCTCTAACTATTAATTACATAACTACCCAAAGTGTCGGTCTAAGGATCCCGAAGAATCCGCCGAACAAATCAAAGTAATTATTAATTAATAAAAGAGTCTATACTTTTCTCATGCTTAAGAGTCTAATGCCATGACGGTGATAGGGAGTAATTGCATACGACGGCTCTCGCAATATATCTCAACCTAACGCGGATCCAGTTCAAGTCTTAATTAATTATGAGTCCATCCATAATTACCGACTATGAACAATTTATAATTACTATTTATATATCATGCATTGATTGCGATCACATACATTTATATAAATATTTCTTGTAATTACATGGACACTATCAATCTCATAGTGAATCGAAACATAATACATTGAATTCACCAATTATATAAATCATAAATATTTCAGATATGTCAGGAACATATGTCACTATAATCCAGATAGGAATTGGCTATGCCAGGGCATATAAATCCTAACAGATATGATGATAATAGAACAATGCTTCCAATTTATTTTGTTATTGAGCGAATCCGTTGGTTATAAAATTTTTGTCTAGCTTTCTATTTTGAATGTTCCAAAATATATTTATTTAGACATTAACTTGATTAAAAGAGTTAACTAATTACATAATACTTTTTTATCTTTCGATAAGAATAAATTTAGAATCAATGAGACGTCAAGGTTCAAGTCTCGGTGGAAAAACGTGTGTGTGAGTACCAACTAAGAAGAAAAAAAAGAATAAAATTCACTTTTCTCAATACAATGGTCCAATTACAAATGCAAAATAAAACCCATTACCATAGTTGGATTTTCCAAACGTCTCAAGAATTTTGGACCTCGAAAGAATATGCATACCACTTCTATAATAATGAGAAAATAAAGCTGAAGAACTACTTAGGGTAAAAAATAGCCATATTTATCCACCCTTACAATTGATAACTTCTATATAACTCTAGAGCAATTGAGCCATTAGGCTGAATCATTAGAAAGTCTTGATAAGCAGAATCAAGACAAAATTTGGATAAAGTTCAATTTCTGTTTAGTCTCCGTTTGTTTGGACGTTAAATATTTAATTTTTTTATTTTTTTATTATTATTCTCTTATGGTGTTTGGTTATTATAAAATATTTACAAAGAAAAAAAAATATTAAAATTTAACAAAAATAATTTATCAATAAATTTTCAACAAGTTATTTTATATGCCCCGTCCGATGACCTCGACCTCAATTTCGACATAAATATTTACCAAATACTGACAAGGTATATATATATATATATATATATATATATATATTACCTGAAAAAAAAAAAATTTATTTTTTAAAAAAAATATTTTACGTCGAAACAAACAAAATCTTAACGCAAACAAACAAAATCTTAACGCAAATAATTCTTTGGAGCCATGCTCGCAAATGAAAGCCCAAATTTTACGGACACCTGTTGAATGAACACTTTACAGTGTCCTGGGGATTAGGGACAAAGCTCTGGATAGTCCGGCTCCAAAAAAAATAAAAAAAATCCTCTCCTTGAGAATCTCACTACTGGATTATGCAGGGCTACAAGTACAATTTCAACTGGTTCGATTTCAACAGTCAGATTTGGTTCCCATTTTCATGCCAGTTTGGGTTTGAAGTACAGCCTAAACCGAACCAAACAAAACCTAGTGCATTCCCAGACCTCATCACAAAAAGCAAAACAATTCGTCAACAATTTCATGGCTCTTAGAACAACAAATCCCCAACATCCGATCAGACATACGCATGCCGAATTCGTAATTCTCAGAAACCCAATCCAAACAACTAATCAAATTATCTTTCCATATATAAGAAAATATATATCTATATGTTTGCTTAATCTATAGTCTCTATATTACATCATATATTAATTTAATGAGCAAAAAAGAAATCCGGCCATAGTGAAAAACTTCAAAATTCTCTCCCTACATTACACCCCCAAGAAAAAATCCCCGTGCCAGCCAGAAAAATGGGAAGGTGCATACAAAAAATAAAATCTAAATATAAATTGATAATGCACAGTAGAATAATTTGTAAAACAAATGGAACAGGTACAGCTCCACAATCTCCTATGTTTGTACTTCTTGGGGGTCACCCAAAACAGATCAAAACTATCTGAAATCTGCACCGACTGCTTCGTAGATAGACTTGAAGCCATCGTTCTCTAAGCATTTAGCCAGTTCAGCCTATAAGAGAAGCATAATAATAAATACATGTCATTACATTAGACCGAATATAGGAACTTCAAATAGCCCTTGCGAACTAACATCAAAAAGGTAAAAAGGAAAAATGCAGTAATCCATCCAGCAAGAACAATATACACGAGATAATGAGGCTTAAAGTGCAATTTTTTCATTTTAGTCAAACATAGAACTCAGCAATCAAAATTCTACAGAGATTTCCTTTATTGGAATGGACAAAGTTCAATTTAAAGTATATGCATGTGGCCAGGGCATGTTTCAAACTTCTTCCTCATCCAAACTTCTTAGTCAGAGGTTTTAAAGCCATAAAAGGCCAGACAATCAACAACTGCTATTCCTTTATAGGACACGGATATTTTCCTCACCAAGAAGGATATCCCAAGGACCAAAGGTTAACGAGGTACATTGAGCCTGAGTGGTATATGAATCAGGGGGCAGGCAGCAGATATTCATTTTATTGCATATACTCCCTCCTTTGTTGGTCCCATATAGAAAAAGCCAACTATTTGAGGAGTCACTACTTAATGTAACATAATTAACTAAAAAAAGTATCAGTTGACCTAATCCATGCATAAGATTTGGTGTCACATCTTGCCCATGAATGTGGTCACTGGTCCGCATTCTCCTTTGTCACCCTTGGATACCTATGTTTTCAAGCATTGGAGAATATTGATCATGCTAAAACTGCAAAACCCTCAGAAAACTGAAAACCAAAATATAGGTCTCGATAAGAAAAACATCCACATCCCGACTCAAAAAGAATTTGAGAGAAGAAATTAATTCATTTTGGTATTGTGTATGTCACCCTTGGATACCTATGTTTTCAAGCATTGGAGAATATTGATCATGCTAAAACTGCAAAACCCTCAGAAAACTGAAAACCAAAATATAGGTCTCGATAAGAAAAACATCCACATCCCTACTCAAAAAGAATTTGAGAGAAGAAATTAATTCATTTTGGTATAGTGTATGTTAGCTCTGGAAGCCGAGGAAGTTTTTCATGTTCCAGCTGACAAGTTAATAGACCCAGTCACCCACCACCTAAAGTTACTCAGCTGTTAAAAGAATACAAAGATGTGACACCCGAAAAAACTACTACATGAATTACCACATATGTTTAGCATGCCTTTAGCATAGTCCAGAGCAAGCCTTGGCTCTAACGCTCTGGTCGCCGCATGATCACAGATACCTTTTTTTGATAAGTAAGATATCATAAAAGGCGCTCAAGAAGGGGAGTGAACCCGAAAGAATACAAAGGACGCCCAAGGCGACACTAAAAATTCAAGCTAACCACAAACTCCAAAAGATCCCCCATACATTTACAATTACGCCCAAAAAACCAAAAGAGTAAAGAAGAGAGTATGTTGTATTTGATAGACCAAATTGGAGATTCCTCTCCATCAAAAGATCTTCTATTTCTCCTGCGCCACAATCCCCACCATAAACAAAGGGGAGTGGCCCTCCAAGCATCTCTGACTCGGCTCTCCACTATACACCCTCTCCAAGTCTCTAGCATATCCACCCTGGGTTCGGAAAAAACCCAATCCATGCCAAACGCAACCAAGAACATAGACCAAATATTCACAGATTATCTGATCTTCCAAATATCAAATAATCCTAGGGGATGTGCTAAAATAAAATGGCAAGTGAACGAATTCTTACAAGAAGCTTCATTGGTTAGTCTTAATACATGGACTATATCCCCTACTCTTTTTAACTCCAAAGAAAGAAACCTCCTAGAGAATGTGTTGATAGCTGTCATTAACAAAATTACAGTGAAATGGAGGTTCCCGAGAACTTGTCTTGGAGACATGTTGGACCTAATGGATGATACTCAATGGTTCTACGAAACTAAATCAGAACACCACTTGGTGATGAATGGAAGATAGCCTTAAAGACCCAAGATGAGCTGTATGACTGATTGGTCATGGCCTTTGGTTTCTCATATGCACCTAGTACATTTATTAGAGTAATGATTCAGCTTCTATGTCCTCCTCCTCTAGAAAATTTTCCGTGGTATACCTTGTTGACATTCTGATACAGACTGATCTAGAGGAGAATACATAGGCCATCTTCAACAAGTTTTTAAGATTATTAAATCTAAAATGTTCTAGATCAATCTCAATAGATGCTCCTTTACGCAGATTGAAGTGATTTCCTTGGACTTATTTGAAGCACATACTATTGCTGCAAACCTCGAGAAGGTAAAATCTGTTAGTAAGTGGATAAATCCAAAAGCCCGCTAATGGGGTTCATGGTCTATATGGCTTGGCCACTTTCCACAGGCTTTTAATTAGGAAATTCAGTTCCATTGTGGCTCCAAAATGGATTACATGAAGAAACTGTAGTTGCAATGGACTACAGTTGCTGCAAGGCCCTTTGCTGAAATAAAATAGAAAATAGCTAAAGCGCCTGTTTTGCAACACACTTTGACTTTTCAAAAGTCTTTTAAGTTACTTGTGATACATCAATATGATGCATAGTAAGTCAGGAAGGCAACTCAGTCACTTCAGAAAAAAAAACTCAATGAAGCTTAAGCACCATGAAACAATCACAGAAACAAAGAAAAATTGACCAAGACGCCACCAACCACAGGAATAGACTACTCTCCCCCACCCCAAACCTAGTGCAGATTCGAGGAGGGTAGAAGTGGCCCCTAGCAGGTGCTGTCAAAGAAGCAACCGTCTTTAGCCCACGCCACTGCTTGATCATTTACTCTTTTCATTTCAACTGATTCCTAACCTATCCCATCCCATCCCACCTCTCCTCCCCACCCCTTCTATTCAAATAGTTATATTTTCTCCAACTTTTCTCCAATTTTGTATTTGTATTAAATTCGTTACATGTAAATACACAAAATCCATTAGAAAATTGCACTATGGGTAGAAATCCTATACATACTGCAAAAAATAAAAAATAAAAAATAAAAAATAAAAAACACTAAATTATATTGAACTAATACTATATATCCCACTGTTCTGAGCTAAATCTTAATTATCCAACCAGTAGATCCAGATCCACTAAAAGAATGATATAAGTTAGACTTAGAGAACTTTTCCAACTAACACATAACATTCTCTTGCAGCTACAGTTTTCTACACAACATTAAACCCAAAATATCATTCTGCCAAGTTTAGTATGCAAGCAAAAGTACAGACTAAGGCATGAAGCATATAGAAACAATTAACCATCAAAATTATAATAATTTTAACTTAATAGTCACCCCTATGGAGGTTAAGATTACCCCGTTTAAGATTTCCACAATTGTTGTCTCCTGGTGAGTGTTTTTGGAAGAGGGTTTATACAAAAAAAATCAGCAAATCAACGCAATAAAATCCGTCACCTTGAGCTCTTACGCAGGGTTACCAAGTATTAAAAAATATAAAAGAAAATTTCCCAACTTCACAATAGATAGCTTTCTTTTATCATTCTGTTATTTACATAATCAAATATTTAGTTGCATAAAGCTTACATCATGGACTCATTGGCAAATTCATAGAGCTGAAATCTGTCCACCTATTAATGAGAATGTGAACTACAGAATTTATTGAGGGTGCCTAATTGTATTCCATTAACTGTTAAAATGACTATAAAGTTCTAATAAACTATAACGTAAAGCTTAGTCAAAACTAACCATAGATAGGTTAAAATCTAGAAGCCAGAATTAGCCCTAAAAAATCTGACAAAGGGAAACTTGACTTCCATGCACAGAATTCCCAATTTCCCATCATTTGTGTTCTTCCCTCTTCTAGCTCATCCTTCTATTCCTATTTCAAGAAGAGCTTCACTTGCTTATAATCTCGACACCGATTCTACTGAAAGTTCAGTTGCAACTGAATTTTAATGAACTAATAATCCAACTGATTTGATTTGGGGATAATGAGTGATTGGGGTTTGTCAGGATTTGAACAAAAAATAGATTTTGGGGTCAAGGAATTGGGCCCAGCTTTGCCGGAAGCATGCTACCGAAGGAGACTTGCAATCAAGTTAATAGCTATGGCCTATGCAAATGAATGGATCAGATCATTGCAAGCTGAGAAGCACGGACACTTCTACAAAGGTGTCGAACACTAACAATTCATGGCCATGTCCATAATTTAAAAATATTTTTATTATTTCAGGCACTAAGCCGACACATCATGGACACTTGGTCAACACACTCCGGGCGCTCAACCAACACATCCCACACTCTTCCTTCTTATATAAAACTGACACGACAGTCCTGGAAACAATATTGTTGTTGATGCATCAAATTGTTGAACCTCTTTTTCTTTACAACATTGACATTAATAAACAAAAAAAAAAAACATATGTAATACAATATATTCTTTTTGATATATTGTATGGAAATACATATGTAAACATATGTAATGAACAAAAAAAAAAAAAACTAGCGACACGAGAGGAGAATAATAACATATGTAATACAATATATTCTTTTTGATATTCAAATAGCTTCATCTTCTAACTTATGAAGCTTTAGTATGGAAATTATAAATTAATTAAAGTTATCTAGTTGTCTTACATACTCAATAGATATACACATGAAAAATTATATTTTTATTAACCATGCCCACGCCGTGTCCGTGTCCGTGTCCTACTGTTTTAGAATTCGACGTGTCGACGTATCCATATCGTATCATGCCCATGCTTTGGGGATTGCAAGTTATATGTTTCATAACCACTTTGTGGAAAATTGTTAGCTATGAATGTGATAGAAAATCATGCATGGCAACCAGAATATGTCAAAAGCTCAAAGTGGAGCTTCTTTTCTTGTTTCAATAATTTCATATTCTATATTGGACAGAACATAGTTACATAATTCCTTTTCCATCAAAAGGCCACATCAAGTATAAATTCAGGCAAGCCTTTTAAACAAATTTATATATGTGCATGTTAAAAGGCATAAATGCCAGGGTTCTGAAATAGATTGACTTGGAAAACTTAAACTGCGGCTTTATCAGTCTAAAATGGCTATTCTCCCACTCAAAACTGCAAGCTTTTACTATTGCATGCACTCATGTGTGCACACAGACACACAGCATATCTACAAGAAATTCAAAGTGTTTTTTCAAGCTTAAAAATGCAGGTGTTCATCAGAACAGTATCATCATCTGACTGTTTCTTCAAGATTCAAAATGCATAAGGATATGCCAATATACACATTACCTTCATCTGAGGTATCAAAGCAGGTCCCCCATAGGCAAATGCTGTATAAAGCTGAATAAGACTTGCTCCAGCTCGTATCTTCTTGTATGCATCCTCACCACTAAACAGAATTCATATTCGTTCACAAGAATTTAAAAAAAAAAATGCTAGTCTTATTAACATTTAAGAATATATGATGATGACAATGACAATGCAAAGCTTAAGTTTACCTGCTAACACCGCCGCAGCCAATCAAAGGAATCTTTCCCTATTACAACATAAAAATAAAAATAAAAACAAATAAGGCTCTGGTTGCATTAAAAAAATAAAAAGTGAAGTTTCGAGAAGACATTGAATGTCTAGACACTAAACAAGAAACAGGACCATTTCCAGGATAACATGACATCCCACATGGAACATAATTAGGAGTTCAATTTTAGTGGATATACAGACCATGTAGCACGTAAAAGGGAAGCTAGACTAACATAACAATGTTCAGAAGTTTTCCCAGGTGGTTTTTACCAAAACAGACCCAGTTGGAGAGTTTCTATCTTGTGTTAGTTATACTTCTTTATAAGCAAGCTTCATGGCAATAATTTAAGAAGAAATATATTATCAGAAACTCTGCATATATTTTTGCACGTGGTGAGAAAACATTTTGTTCTACCACTATCGTGCATAATTAAAAGCCATAATTATCCCATCAGTCAGTTGACTTTTGTCCCCAATACCCTAAAATTTGATCCTAAAACCATGACCTAATCACCCACCATTTTAACCTTTTTTTTTTTTTTTGAAAAGTACACCCACCATTTTAACCTCTAAAACTCTGCCCCTTGTTTTCAGAAGTTCAGGTAATTTTTCCTTTGATTTCAAACTAAAATGGCCAAAAACATAACAAGTCAAACATTTATTCTATCCTTAAATAGTAATACTAACTTCTCAATCATAAACCCTAAAATACAAAGCCATGGCATACCATTATTTAGTTGTAGGACAGCCTTGATTATCCACATAAGGCTTCATGCGAGCGGCTGCTTAGAGAGCCATGAACAAGGATAGTGGTTCAACAAGAGAAACAAGTAAAGATTGCATCATCATAGCAAACCATTCTCCAGATATAATTTTTATGTGTAACTCTCACTGCTAAAAACCCCTAGCAAATTCACCCCACATTGCAATCCTAAGTACATGATCATTAGGACCACAACCAATAACAACCATATATACTGGCTATCAATTAACAATTCTTTTAAATTTATTTTGGTAAGCATATCAGCTTCCTACTGATATGGAACATACAACAAATTTTTCCCCCTAAGCCCAGAACATAGAACATTACATTTCACAATTATCATTATTTTAGTATATTAACCTCCACATAAGTTTGGCTTAATTTTAGGGACCTCCCACACCTTTCAAAAACTACCTGCCTTCCCACTGCAATAAATCATATAATTGTATTTTTAAAACATATTATATATGACATATAGATACATATGGAAAGACGTCATAAGGACAAGACACATATATGTCTGTGTTTTGCATATGCTATGAAGATATGTATATGAACGTAATATGTAAACATGATTTAATGGCCATCTCTCCTACTCCCAAGTCCACTCCTTTAGTTGAACCTTTCCATTTTATATAAACATTTTTTTTTTTTTTTTTTTGTTCTGTTCTAAAAGAATTCCTTATCCATACTTCAAAGATTCATTATACATATTTATCCAAGTATTGAAAGTGAACCAAAACTTCTTTTTTTTTTTCTTTCCAATTATGGAAATAATCAAGATGCGTCAAATGTCCAGGAGTGCCCAAGAAGTGTCAATGTCTGGCACATGTCCAACACAGTCACAGCTTCTTAACTTAGTGTCAAAGACTTCTTCATCTGGCTGAATTAAAAAAATGTTGCTCCACAGAAAGTAAATCATTACTGCTCTCTTTTTCTTTCAGCTCTGCCAAGAGCGCAATTCTTAACATTCATTTTAGCCCCACGTTTGAAGGATTTTGTTGGGGTGCTCATCAGTCAAATTTCCCAAGACTAAATTACCCATTTCTTCCTCCTAGGCCACTAGGACAACTCAGCATTAGGAAAATGCAAGGAGAGTCAAACTTAACTTGAAGAGCCAAACTTAACTTTAACATTAATGCTCTTAGTATCCCAGTTTGCCTTGGAGTTGAAAACATTTTAAGAGATCATCATGTTAAGAATGTTTTTTTTTTCTATTCTAAAGCCAATGGGAACATGCTTCACCGTTAAGTTTGAATTCTCTCTTTCCAAGGCCTTAAGTCTCCCTTTTTTTTTTCTTTTTTTTTTTTTTCTCTAGGAAAGCGTGATAAAGGGTAACACTAAGGCAACAGTTGAATGGATTAGAGACCGATCTATAAGACTAGCAATATGTTTTCCAAATGGAGGATACTATAGATTCATTGGCATCCTTAAGACTAGCAATATGTTTTCCAAATGGAGGATACTATAGATTCATTGGCGTCCTTAAATTACATCCCTTGTCCAAAGAATGAGATGGGTGATCTAGCAAAAGAGGGGGGCACTATCATAGAAATATTTCAAGGTCATTTCCATCCTTTTGAGGGGATTAAGAACAGATTGCTGGGACGGCTCGAATATTCCCTTCACATGAGACCTTGACAAAAGGAAGATCAGATGGTCACGGGCTTGAAAATTCTCTTCACAGGAGATTGTTAGTTCATCATTAGTTCAAGCATGATGAATAGAACCGTTTATATGCTTTCTTGTTAATTAGTTTTGAATTTCTGTTATAGGCTTATAGCTGCATTTTTTTTCTTTTTTCTTTTTTTTTGATAAGTATCATTGAAAAGTGCTCAAATGGGGATGGGGAAAGCAAACCAAAACTACACAAGGGCCAAATGGGGCCCCTAATCTCTCATCATTTCCATAAACTCCCTAAGAGATTTACAATTCCTTCCATAACCCTCAAAAATAAACTAACAATAAGAATTTAAGCACCCCCAATAGGAGTCTCCACGCCATTGAAAGACCTCCTATTTCCCTCTCTCCAGAAGCCACACCAAAGGCAAAGAGGAACCGCCCTCCAAGCATTACGAACTACACCCCCACCCCCCCCAACACTGTACAACCACAACAAGCCTTGAGCACAAACAACGTGGAAAAAGGCACAACCCACTGGACACCAAACACGCCCAAAAGCAAGCCGCAAGATTAAATTTAAAAAGTTGTTAAAGTTCGTTAATCAAGCAATTAAGACTAATTAATCCCTCCTATAGGTCTAAATCACGGCCTTGCACTAACTTTGCATCAGAAACTGCGGTTCAGTCCATAAATTTCTCAAACACGCTGATTCTATGGCCTGACAATGCCTCATGATTTATGTAACCAACAGAGTGATACTACTAATCTACAAAAACTTTTTAAAGACCATATAAATATAATTATCTTACATAAGATTACCACCAAGGTATCTCAAGCTAGGAGAGAGAAGCAAAATCATAAACCCGTATATCCATGATGATTATTGAAGATTTAATGGAGGAATCAGTGGAGAAAAATCTTTCAGTAATTGTTGTTGTTTCCTATTATTGAAGATTTGGTTTTACTAGAGGAATCAGTGGAGAAAAATCCTCCTTGTTTCCTATTTTCTAATTCTTTCCATTCTCATAAATTCTTCTCCTATATAAAGGAGCCTCCGCCATTGTATTGTGTATGAATTGAGAGAGTATTATAAAAGTGATGTAGCCCTTTGGGCTCTTTGTGCCGTGGATGTAGGCCTAGTGGTTGAACCACATAATATCTGTGTGTTCTACTTGTTTTATTTATCTCTTCACTTCCGTTTTATGCTTTACAACAATGGTTTAATCATTACAAACTTTTAAATTCAATATAAGAGAGTAATTGCATCCAAAACTTTCTAAATTATGAAGGAATTTCATGAAGTTCTTGAATCCAAAGTTCCAAATCCCCTAAAGCCTTGTACATACCAAGAGAGAATTTCATTATCATATAAGCAACAATTTCCCATACCCTATCCAACCTTCCCCCATCAACTTCTTGCATAGGATCGACAGTAGACAAAACATAAAATACGCTACTAATAATGTTATGAATTTAGCTTCCAACTCTGCTTCACTATTCCCTCCACCAATCAAGTCCCAACCAATAACACTAAAGCAATATCGGTATTCCTTTCACAACACCTCAAACAAGAGAACAAACTACAAAATAAAATTTAAATCCAACCAAATACCAAAACAAGCATCGCCATTTCCTTCAACTCATTGCCAGCAGCCATAAGCTCAACCTTAATTTAATGTTTCAGAAGTTAGTTGAGTGCATAAGGAATTAGGTACCAGGTAGAATAGGTGTTAGCTTGATTTTAGAATTGGTGAAGCTCATTGTAATATGACCAAACATAATGAAGGATGAATATACCACCAAAACCAACTTCAACTTCCCTTCCTTGCAAAGGAAAAGAACTCCCTCCACTAGACAACTCATTCTCAAAAAGGTTATTTCATTAGTAAAACCTCCATAGTGAAGAGGCATGCATGCTAAATGCCATGTATGATATCAACTGCCACCAAACAGTAGGGGAAGTTACAGAGAAAACCATCAGAAACCTTTTAAAAGAATGGGAAAAATATCAAACAAATTTGATATATCTAATAATTGACAAATTAAGATTGGAATTTGAGGGGCCATGAAAAATAGATTGGAGAACTCAATCTTGACATAATTTCTCTATGCAACCCTTTAGAGCAACTCAAGCTTGAGATGCTTTGGGAAGAGTTTGAGTTATAAAAAAACTTCTTTCTGTTGGGAGATGGGGAGATATTGTACATCTTTAGAGGAGATTGTAGATCTTTTGGGCTCCTGGGGTCCTTAGTCCCTCTTGTTTTCTTTTTTCGTTCTTCTAGGCTTTGGCCTTTGTGTATTCTTGGGATGCGTTCCCCTTTTGAATGCTTTCTAATACATTTGTACTTATCAAAATAAATAAATAAATAAATAAAAACTTATTTTATCACCTAAAATCCTCTCACGTCCCTCCAAGCTTTCTACAACCTCAATTGATCTAACTGAGACCACCACAAGAGAGCCAATTGGGAACACAGAATCCCAAGAGCAACAGAGATGAAACACACAAACGGGCCAATGGCCTAACGGTACTAGGCCCCAACTTCCCAAAGGGAGGTCAGGGGTTCGAGTCTCAGTAGAGGCAGGGTGTGTGAGTGAATTGCTTTAACTTCCAAAAAAAAAAAAAAAACAGAGATGAAACACAGTTTTTTGAGATTTTACAAAAATAAGGCTCAGCATTTAACAGTGGTCTGAAACAGATGTGGAAAATGGTATATGGGCAGATCAAATGCACTAAAAGCTCAGGCTCTTCTGATGGAAAAAGGAGGTAGAATTCTACCGATTCTACCACGTGTTCACATTGTTTGGCCTTAATTTTTTTGGGCTGATACATTATTTTGAGTGATTGGACTCTTTTAGTAATAAAGCCCAATAGTATTGTGCCCAAAACAGAAAACGCTAAATATAATGAAAAAAAAAAAAAAAAGAAAAAGGCAAAAAACATTCAAATGCCCTAATTCTCAGCTTCGCTTCTCTTTTCGACAAAAGACCTAATTCTCAGTCGCGACCATCAAGGCTTCAACCGACTCCAAATTCAGACAAACATTCTTTTGGATAGGAATAGAGACATCTTCGAGACAACACACGTCCACAGCTTCTGATTCTCGTCGTCGACAGCTTCTGGTTCTCAAACTCCAAACTCCTCAGTTCTCACGACAGAACAACAGCCTTCACTCCTTAGTTCTCACATCACTCAACTCAAAGGTGTGTTTTTTTTTCCTTTCCCTTTTTTGGGTATTTGATTAATTAAATTCTTAAAGAGTTTTGATATGCATCATGCATGGATAATTGAATAATTGATTTCTGTTCTACGTTTTAGAGTCTTCAATTTTGATTTTTGGCTCTGTTTTAATTTTTTGGATAACTTCAGTTGTTCAACTTGATCCTTATTGTTTGATTATGTTCTTGGTTTTAAATTTTTTATTTTCTTGGCTTGTTCACGGTTCCTTCTTGTTCTGATAGTTCTGTAGCTACAGAATCTGTTCTTGATTTGCTAATTTTGTTCTGTGAAATTACGAGGGTCAGGCCTTCAACTTGAGATATAAAGCTTTAGAGCAACAAACTACAAGCTTTTTATCCAAGAATTAGCTAAATAAAGCTTATTTCCACTATGCCTGTGAATTAGGTTAAAAAAAGTTATTATAGGTATTTTGGAGTCAGATATGTTTGAATAAAAGCAATAGGTCACTGGTCAGTGTCCTTGTTTTGTAATTTGAGAGAGAATTTATGTGTCCTTATTTTATTAAGGTTGTGTAATTCTGATTACCAATTTAAGTGTAAATTTAGCTTTCTTTCCACAAACTCTTTTTTTGCCTTCTTTATTTCGCATGAATTAGCTTGAGCACTTGCATAGTTGTCATGAGAGCTCTACCTTTTGAGCTACATTCTCTTTTATATTACTACGTATATATTTGGACTTTGGAGTGGTACTTCTATGTTTTTTTTTTTGTGTTTTGGACTTATTCTTGCTAAATTTTAGAGATATTATTGTTTAAGAAATTGTTTTTTTACTAGTTTGGTAGAATCTTACAATTCTCGATCTGATTCTACGATTCGGATTCTACGGAACCCAAAACGCTCCTACATAGAATCACGATTTTAAAAAACCTTGGTTGCAGAATTGTTTATGAGAAGTTTTTTGGGCTAAGTTGTGTTGGAATAAAGGACGACCAAGATGTTCTACTATTTCAAAAAAAAAAAAAAATAAAGTGCTTGTCATGTTGGATAAGCTTCCTACAAATGTGAATCTTCAGAAAAAGGGATTTTGTTTGGCTCCCAGGTGTTCTAATTGTTTGAATGGCCTGGATTCTAGACATCTCTTTTTAGAATGTCCATATGCTAAGGAGGTTTGGCATTGGTTAAGTGAGCTGTTACGCTGGGATGCCTTTTTGCTCATGAAGAGGGTGATGAGTTTCTTTTATTCACTCACTGGTTCTCAGATAGATTTCATTCTGCCAAGGGTAATAAGATGACTTTTTCTACAACCTTGTGGACTATTTGGCAAGAAAGGAATGCTAGAATTCACAGTGGGATTGTCAGACCTGCACCTTTGCTTGCTAAATCCATTCTCTTGATGTTACTGTCGCAGCAGCTGTTTCTCTTAAAGATATTTTGGTGTAAGTTTTATTTTTGCTGGTTTTGGAAGTGGGCTTATTCAGAAATTGTTTTCTGTTTAGTTTGAGCCCCAGTGGGTCAAGGAGGGCAATGTCCTATTGATCTTTGTATTTTATTGCCCCGTCTTTTAATGAAATAGCACCATCATTTATGAAAGGGAAAAAAATAAAAAATAAAAAACACACTTTAACAGTGCCCTCCATTGTGATGCTAAAAACCTTAACTTTTGGCTCAAATGTTCAAATTCAACCATTTAATTAATCATTCACTAAATATTTTTTTTTTTTAGTTTTTTACATATATGTATCTAAAGATGACAAAAATCATCAATGCTTTGCAAAAGAAAAAGAGGGAAAATAAATGCAAACTAACTACTACCATGCTTCTTTTGCAGCTCCTAATGAAGAAACAGTATATGCATACATGACACAACTATATGACAATTTTATAAAAGGCACTATAAACAACACACCTTTGTTAGAAGATACATCTCCTTTAAGATAGCAGTAGACAAATCAAAGAGAGGCTTCCCACTTAAGCCACCAGATTCTTCAGCAACCAGATTTTTACTTACTGGATCTGGTCTTGAAATGGTTGTATTTGAAATGATCTACAAGAACCAAGAAATCAAAATCAAGATTAAAATCTATGAAAATGCAATTTGTTTTCCACAAAAAGTTAGAAGCAAGACTAAGGTAACAAAAGAACATTCCAAAGTCCAAACCAAGTCCATCAACATTATAAATAATATTTTCATCAGTGAGATTCTTGCCTATTGAGGCGTGCTCTGGTTTGCAATCATCATCGCACATGCAATACATTGTATAATGAAATCATAATCTCAGCAAGAAAGAAAACAGGCCTATGATTTTGTTTTTGGGCTCTAATAGAGGAATAACTTATTTCAATTTTAGAGTAGTTGGATATTGCATTTTTCAACAGGTAGGAATAACAAGTTTCTATTATATTTCTAAACTGTGGATGAGAAAATAAAGACATCCCTGTAAATATAAGACAAACTTTTATCAAATCTAGATTCGAGACTAAGTATGAATTTAATTTTCAAGTTGATTATATCACTAAAGATCTTTTACCAAAGCTAATAATATTTTAAATTAAGACCTTTGAGAGTGCAAAATATATATATATATATATATATATATTCCAAGGAAACTTAAACTTTTGGAAGTGATTTTAACCAATAAGAGTTTCAAAATTTCAGCTTCCCTTATTTTATAAAGCATCACCATTGATCATAATGATTAGTCAATTGAGAGTCTGAACTGAGGTAGACAATGGCTGTATGCCAGAGTAAGCAACAAATAATCTCTATGACTCTACATTAATTCAATCGTAATAATAAGATTTTGTAATAAATTTTTGAATCATAGTCAAAACTGTACCTCAGGATATCATTAGAACCCTTCTCTTGTGTTCTCTCACTTCAAGATCTTATACTTAATCCACATACATGATCGCCTTTTACATTTAACTAGGGAGGTATCCTTCGTATACAAAGAGAGCCCTTGCATTCAAACCATAGGCAATATAGCCTATCTTCATCAAGATCATCATCAATTTTCAATCATTACCTTGTTTATTACGTCTATCTTCTTCAACTACGTTTATGTCCTTATGAGGTAAAGAAATTCATAGAATGCCTAAGCAACCTACATTTAGAACAAGCTCCATACTTCTATTAGAGAATGGAGAATAATTTCTTTCCGTGTGGGGCCTGGCTGGGCTTGGAGTTTGGAAGTTCATTTGGAAGGGCTGGGATCAGTTTTTATAACACATTCGTTTCAGAGTTCGAGATGGAAGGAACAGTCAGTTTTGGGAGGATATTTGGTGCGGGGATCGCTCTCTCGGCCACATCTACCCCGAGGCTTCACAGGATTGTGACGGCACTGACGGGTAGGCATGCCATGGTCGCCGCCTGCTATAGCCTTGATAGTGGAAAGATGACATGGGAGATGTGCAGTTCGTGAGACATTTCCAGGACTAGGAGTTAGAGGACATCTTTGATTTTTTGACAGTGCTTTATCGCCAGAGGGTGCAGGGCACAAGGATGGATGAGTGGATTTGGGATCCTTCTTCTCAGGGGAGATTCGGAGTTCGCTCCTTTTATTCGAGCCTAGTGAGCACATAGACTCTTTCTTTTCCTTGGAAGGTTGTGTGATGCACAAAGCCCCTCTAAAGGTGGCTTTTTTCACTTGGACATCGGTGTTGGACCGGATTCTTACGACGGACAACTTGAAGAGGAGGCAGACCCCTGTGAACCGGTGCTTCACGTGCAAAGTGGAGGAGGAGACGATTGACCATCTTCTCATTCACTGTCCGATGGATAGAAATTGTTGGGATATGCTTCTGGGCATCTTCGGAGTTCAGTGGGTAATGCACCTTTCTTCAAGGAGTGCTCTTGAGGTATGGAGGGGCAGTTTTGTGGAAACCCAGGTTCGTGTCAGCTAGAGGATTGCGCCTCTGTGCTTGTTGTGGTCTTTGTGGATAGAGAGATATAGGATGTCCTTTGAGGGAGATGAAACCCCTATTAGTGTGCTTAAGTTTTCTATTTTTCACACTCCATGTTTTTGGAGGCGGGGGAGAATTTGTAAATCTATAGGGGAGATATTGGACTTTGTGGATACTTTTGAGTGTCTAGAGGCCCTATTTGGCCCTTGTGTAGTTCTTGGGATGCGCTCCCCTTTTGAGCGCTATCTATAATACTTTACTTATCAAAAAAACAAAAACTCAGTAAAACTCCAACAAGACAATCTGATAATGAATATTCATCATCCTCTTGCCCAATTCATCTTGGCCATCAATATGAATAAGACCAAGATACGAAAACAGCTATCATAGTGAATAGTTATTTTCTAAATAGACCATCACTTGAAGTTCTGTGTGGTAAACATGTTCCAATTGCCATGTAATTTTCTGTTAACCAAAGGAAAATTATAAGATTTTGAATAGGATAGTCACCCATAACATGGATACACAAGCCCATTCAGATGAGATGCCTTTGCAAAGACTGGAGTTCTTATACAACATTGGATCAAAGAAACCCCTTGATTTGTTTGAGACAATTGTTGGAATTATAACTTTGGCAGGTCAGAATTACAAGAAGACAGCTTATTTACCATATCACCATTAATTATTAGACTTGTATGGAGCTTCACTACAGGATCCTCGATAATGTGACTCTTCTTAACCTTATGGATCCTACAGATGCAATACGGAAACAAAATATTTTTTTGTCATATAACTCCACTGGGTATAATCCACCATTTAATGAGGATAATTCTGATGAGGCTGAGAAGTTAGAGGCAGATGAGCCTCCTGCTTCTTCTGCATTCCCTTCTCAATTTTTTGGTTCAGCTCCTAGTATAGTAGATAAAATTCAGAGGATGGAGTCTAGGTTGGCAGTAAAAAACAAACAAGTTTTACAACATCATTGTATTTATGCCCGTGTAACACAAGTATCATCCTTCAGCAATTTATCATGTCATGAACAGGCAGTATAACCTACACAACATCGCTTCATTACGAGTTAAAATGTGCTAAAAGTTCTTTTCGCTCTAGGCTTTGATGCCAATATTCTACAATATTATACTTTAAGTGCACTAGTCAACAGTCAGATTTGTAACTAAACTCAATTCTCTCAGCATCAGAACAAGCAAAAAGATACGATAAATAAATAAGCAGATCACAAAAACTTTTATTAGATTAAGCAAATTTCCAAATACAATAAACAAGTCCAGATATAATCAGTTTTATCAGCATGCCATCCTCAATGCTAACATTAGAAAAGATACAAAAGGCATTTCTTTTGTTTCAAGACAAAGATTAGTCAACAGCAGACAAAATCTCAACATTTGGAATCCACTACATGCTAAAACAAACTTGTTGTAGGATAGAAGCAGAATAATTAAGAATTACACAAGAAGATACATTTTTCCAAGTATAAGGACTGCTTAAGATTCAAAATTCATAAATCCAATGGAATTAAAATTTATTTTTTAGTAATTCAACTTTGAAATGCTTTTCTAGAATGCTCTATGTATGCTTTACATTTTGTAAAGCAAGAATGTTCCATTTTCATAAGCTGTCTTGATTGTTATCCAAAATGTAAAATAATGTTTATACAATGAACATTTTGAAGCAATCATGATCCTAAGACCTTTTTTTTAAACAATCTATGTGAAAATATTTAGATTCAGCGCATTCAAGTAATGATGCATAAGACGAGGGAACCAAATTTAATAAAACTAAGCATCTTAATATTTTTTTTTTTTTTTTTTTTTGATAAGTAAAAATAATATTAAAAGCTAAAGAAGCTAAATGAAATTTGCAATGGGAGAAATATACCAGTCCATCCAAGCGCAGAGCAAGAGCAACCTATAACAACAGTTAAGGAAACGTAAGACCACACCATGAGGAAAAGTGGCAGTAGAATATTACAGCAAAAGCATTTGCATACATACTGCTGCAATATCTTCAAGGTCCTGTTTGGACAAATCTGGTGCAATTTTCACAAGTAATGGAGGGGGGCCCTCCTCACCCCATTGCATTTCATCACGAGCAGCTTGGATCTTAATGGAAAGCAAAAGTTAGAATCCTATCCTATATGGTCATCGTGATCAAGTAAATTCAGAAACAGTAAGTTCATGTTTATATTTCCAAACCTTCTTAACAAGGTCTTTTAGCTGTTTTCTTCCCTGAAGTTGGCGCAGTCCAGGGGTATTCGGCGATGAAATATTGATGACCTGTGAAGGAGGAACACATGTTAATTTTGAGATTAAAGCAAACAGTATTTAACTTGAGGATCCTAAAGAACATATAATCTTGAAGAAATGCATAAACGAATTGCAATATTGATGACCTGTGAAGGAGGAACATGTTAATTTTGAGATTAAAGCAAACAGTATTTAACTTGAGGATCCTAAAGAACATATAATCTTGAAGAAATGCATAAACTAATTGCAAAGTTCTAATAAAGAAAACCCATTACCCAGTGTAGGTCCATAAAGAATTGGGGTAGCGGCGAACGAGCTACAAACCTAACCCTTAGGCATTCCTTAGGCATTATTTGCACAAAGTAGCTGCTCTCAATCTCAAACCCACCATTCTCATGTAGGCAACACAAATTTTTACCATTGCACCAAGCAATGGCACCAAAAATTTGTTCTTATATAATAAGAAAATGAAAGTACCTAACAAAAATGATGTATGGAAAAATATGAAACAATAATGCCCAAAAAAAGTAATTCCCCCAAATCAAACAATAATTACCAAATAATCAGCATACTGCGACAATGTATGAACCCCTTGTACATAATCTGCAGCAGCATCTTCACTGGTCTTGTTCTTCCCAAGGTTAACCCCAAGAATTCCAGGACCAGCTTTGCCTCCATGTTTGACTTCGTCGTTGGAAGAAGATGAAGTGCTTGAAGTTTCGTCCAACTTCCTCTTACCATGCTGCGCACCCAACCGCTTCGCAACAGCAACAATTCCTTCACTGTTGAAGCCACACCTATTAATTATAGCACTGCACACAAAAATAAGTAGTTGGCAGCTCAGAAACCTGAAACAGAACTTTCACTGGTCCAAACAGCTGTAAGTAGGAATCAAATTCAAAAAGGGAAAATAGCATCAGATCATCCCAAGCAATCTAAGAACTAGATGGTATTACCATGGAAAATAAGACATAATATCATTCTTACCCTTCCTGTCGCAATCTGAAGATCCGAGGCTTTGGATTACCCTCCTGTGGAACAGGAGTTACGGATCCAACCTCCACAAAGCCAAAACCTAATCCAAGTAAACCTTCAACAGCCTCGGCATTTTTGTCAAAACCAGCAGAAAGACCTATAGGATTGGAGAACCTCCTTCCCCAAACTTCAAGTCCTAATATTGATGGATCAGGCCTCTTCTCTCTAGGAACCCATCCACGAGCTGCGGCTGAAACAGCCAGACGGTGAGCAACCTCTGCATCCAGAAGGGCAAAAAATGGATTGACAAGTTTTGTCGCTGAGAACATCCAGCCGCTGCACAAAATTTTTAAATGCATTATAAGTTATTAGAGGCTAGCACTACATAATAATTAAGGTCTTAAACAGCAATGTCAAATGAAAACTCACTGATTTCTGCTTTAAGTGCAAATATTTGAGGTTGAGGAAATTCAACATAAATAATTCCATATCCCAACTATTTGAGATCAGTTACATAACCACTCCAAATGATATTCTACATTCCCTTACCATCTCGCCTCATATTAATTTGGTCTTCCCCTTGACCTAACAATACTCCCAATGAGGATACAATTATTAGTCCTTATACATGACCAAACCATCTTGGTCTTCACAACTTCCATCTTCTCACAAATGTTCCCTTTCTAGCTTTATCATTTCTTATTTTACCACACATTTATATTAATATCTACACTTCCACCAATATCAATTTGTAAACATGATTTTTAGCCGTCAAATATTCTCTCACATAAAATATGACTAGTCTAATAAAAAAAAAAATTCCCTGGGTAATTGGAAACTTTATAAATAAGGAAATAAAGTACAGATACAACAGCCGCATACAGAATGACTAGCTAAGAATGGTTTTAAAAAAATCAACTTTACAGGTAAAAACTGATCACCTCAATATGCCACAAACAGTCTTCCACTTAATCCATCCAATTGACTCCATGAGCAAGTGAGCAACATCAACTCTACTTTCTCAATATATGTGAATAAAGGAGCCTAAAAAACAAAATTCTTCATTCTTTTTTCTCTTACTCTCAATCTTCACCACCACATCCCCACTTGTATCTCTATCTTTGCAAAAGCTACATACCATATATTCAATTTGGCCCTACTTCCCAAAACTTCTCTGCAGATTTCTAATTTAGCATTTATCCCGACTTTGGTTTCACCAATTAAACATTGTTATCATCCCATACAACCCCATTATAAACGTTCCTGATCAGTTCATCCATATCAAAAACCATAAAGGTAAGACATAATGTTGATTCTTGACGTAAGCCTATAGTATTTGAAATTTTCATTTTTCCATATAGTAATCCATTACAATAGTTACAACTCCATCATGCAAATCGTATATCGTATCGATATATTTATTTGTAATTCCTTTCTTTTCTGCAATCCACCATATCATCTATGTCAAGACTTCATCACAGGCTTTCTTCAAATATATAACCACCATATGAAAGTCTTTCTTTTTCTCTCTAAGCCTTTCTAATAGTCTCCTTCAGTCCATCCATAACAAAAACCATAAAGGTAAGACATAATGTTAATTCTTGATGTAAGCCTACAGTAATTGAAATTTTCATTTTTTTCTATATACTAATCCATTTCAATAATTACAACTCCATCATGCACATTGTTTATCGTATCGCTATATTTATTTGCAATTCCTTTCTTTCCTGCAATCAACCATAGCATCTATGTACGGACTTTATCATAGACTTTCTTCAAATATATAACCACCATATGAAAATCTTTCTTTTTCTCTCTATGCCTTTCTAATAGTCCCCTCCCTCAATAATTAACTTTCATCTTTGACCTCCCCGGCAAAAATTCAAATGTTTCAGATGGTATTTTCAGTATGGGGCGGCCAATCATTATCACACTCTCCCAAAGTTCCATAACATGCTCATTAATTTAGTAAAATGACAATTTGTGAAAATTTCCCTTCTATACACACACGTATTAAAATACTTTATCAGCACTCATTAGCCATTTTTCTTCAACTTCTCAAAGTAATTTTAGTTTCAGCATTTTACCAAGACCCTTTTGACCTTAGTATTGTTCCACCTAATATGATTAGTGCAAACAGATATGACATTAAGCACTAATGGGTCTGTGGCAAGGGGATCACTCACCCTTGGTCTTTACTTACTATGATGGACGCTTTTAGCAAAAATGTTGGTCAAGCTCATTGCGAAGCTTTGAAGTGGTCTCCAAGAGAGTCGTTTCCATCTCCCATTTGTTTTTTTATAACTTGATTTTCCTATTTAGCAGAACTGCAGAAGTAGAGCAACTATGTTGTCTTAGGTTTGTCCTACGTGCTTTGAGACAATTTCTAGCCTTAAGGTAAATTTTGCAAAAGAGTTCGATGATTCTGGTGGAAGAGATGGGAGACAATGAGCAATTGGCCATGAATATTCGTCAGAAAGTAGATTACCTAGTGTTAATTATTTGGAACTGCTTTTGGGATCTTCACTTGAAAGCTAAGGTAGTTTGGAATGTGTTACGACAAACAACCACGAACCAAGAAACAATCACGAAACACAACAAAAACAAACACCACACAGGACACAAAGATTTAACATGGTTCAACACAAGTTGTGTCTACGTCCATGGTGAAGATCCTGCGAAAGGTTTCACCATGTGAAAAAACAAGAGATTACAAGTTCCAGCCCCCCAAACCCTAGCTCTATCTTTCTCTCTCTCTTTTCTGCGATTTTCAGAGTCTCGCAATATCAAAATTCAAAATCCTGGACCCTATTCTCTCTCTCTTTTCTCTCTTCACTTCTATTTTATGCTTAACAACATGGTATCAGAGCCTAATTTTCTTCCTAGGTTTGGACCCTATTTTTGATGTGCAGAAAGTTGCTCTTGGAAACATCTAAAATTCAAAATCCTACTCATAATAGGATAGGGCAGTTTGATTGATCAAGAGATCAATTGACGGTCACTTACCTCGTGTCATTGATGAACACTTGGCTTGATTAATCAAACTATGCGGATCTTCTGTTTTTTTTTTAATTGAATCTCTTAAAACCCTATTTATTAACTGACTCTAAACTCTATATAAAGTCCTCTTGCGTTCTGAAAAATTATGCAAGTTTTATTTTTTTATTTTATTTTAGCAACAAGGGATGAGCTAAAGCAAGAATAAGTTAAGTAAAATTCATATAAAAAAACAAGTGAGGAGCGCATCCCATGTACAATGCAAGTTTAATACCATCTCTCTTAGCATACCTAGGGCATATGGAGTGATTTGGGAATGCAATCTAGCAATTCACTGCTAGATTTTTGTTTATTTCATATTTAACCAATTTAATTGTACTTATCAAAAAATAAAAAAATAAAAAATTTGTTTATTTCATATTTATCATTGCATGATACTATTGAGCCTACAAAAATTTCAACACCACACTAGGAGTTCCACACCAAACACTTTGCCTAGATGACTAGCCAACCAGATGAAAGTACTGGTTAAAAAATCACATGAGGAGCAAATCTGTTGACAGAACGGATGGCCTGGAGACTCAGGGCATAACTAAGATTTTTTTAAGATTTGGGAAACTGGTAACCTAGTTGTATAATCTCTTGTTCTGTCTGGATTCTGTCCCGTGGATTCTCCCTTGGTATTTCCACGTAAAGATCTGCTATGATTGGTTATTTTTACTTTATATGCTTTATTGATTGTAATAGAGGGATAGATGGAATTACTTACCTACAGGTTAGTTAACTTTTGAATTGCAGTTGAGTTGCCCAAGAAAAAATTGAAATTTGCAATTAAATTAATTTATATTTAAAAATCTGTTAATTAGTTAAGCAAGACTTATTTACACCCACTCTAGGTCTAGAACACGGATCCTGCGCTACTCTCTACTATATTACAGTCCTAGATTCCCCAATTGCTATGGGATCCAGGTTGCTCGAAGTTAGTGCGTAGATCATGGATAGTCTTAAGGAATGTGGATTCATATCTAGAGATCAGTTTGTTTGGTGGAACAAACTGTGGTTATTGGAAGGCTAGGATCAAGAAAAGATCCAAAATGCAATAGACATTGGAAGGGAGCATCCAATCAAGACCATGGATGGCAAAAAGTACCTAAACTTAGCAAGGATTTGTCAAGACCATCTAATGTTGCAAGAAGACTGCAACCAATTTTTACTTCCTTTTCCTCTTCAAGCTTCATGTTATGGAATCTCAAAAAAAAAAAATTGTAGACATCATATTCCTCTGCTCTATACAATGTCCCACCAAGTGATGGTTCATATAAAACAAGAAAATATCCCATAACATCATCATGGGAAGGCCTGGGACATTTAACCCAACCAAATCATCATTCCTTCTTCCACGCCCTCTTAGGGAAGATAATTAACTGCCATCATTTGAAACCCATTTGACAATCGAAACAAACTAGATCATATAATTACAAGTGGGCCTTTGAGGTGAAGGGGTTACGAACAACTACTACTATGAGGAACAAGACCATCAATGAGAAAATCCTTCATGAATTAACAAAAATTATAAGGTTCACTAAAGTGAACGACATATATATAGGAAGAATGCCAATTATTTGCAGAGTACTATTTCAATATAAGCACCTCGTCATATTCAAAGTTCCCTTACCAGGTGGCAAGTACTGAAGGTGAAAATTTTAAAATATCGACTCTACCACAGAGGGAGAAAATTTGACGTGAGAGGTACATATACTGATTAGAATTTTTATGATGAGTACTTACAAGAAGGAAATTACTTAGCTACGTTGCCATATATATCAAACTGAAAGCACAAAACAGAAGCTAAGTTAGGTTCCGTTTGCAAAGTCTGCATTCTGTTTCCAGAAACAGGAAAGAATTAACACAAAAAAAATAATTTTGAAGTTTTCTTCTGAAATCCTTTCCCAAGAGTCTTGCCAAATTTCTGGGAGACATCTCATTCATCGCGACATTTTGTTAAAGGAAATTGAAAGAAGATAATGCTGCATGTTCTATTAAAATTTTACGTTTCATTTTTAATGTTTTAACCAGGAATGAATGTGCATTTTATAAGGAAACCAACATACAGTCAGAATAGTCTGCCAAAAAGAACAATTTAACCCTGATTCAACATAAGATCATGGGCAAAAGATTCAATTGAACAATTGGATTTTGCTGGCGAGAACACATCTGGTATTATACAGATCCATGCTAATATTATCACAAACATTCGGGGGTGTATGGGTGTGTATCTATGTGTCTGTTAAGTTCACATTATAATGACATAGACCACCAAATGAATAAAGGTTAACAGGAACTCTAATATATATATATATATATATATATATACACTCCGTATATTTATATATCATCTTTCATATATCCAAATGAAGTACCAGAAAGTTGCTTCATCCACAGTACTGGCATAAGCTCCTCCACCTATAATTAGGCCTATGGTGGCTCCAGTCAATAACCTGCCCTACAGTTCAAGATAACCAGAGACTTTAGAATCAGACAAGCATTTGTCTGAGTTGCAAAAAAAAAGCTGTAGAAGTATACATAAAAAGCATGTTTTATAATAAAAAAAAAAGAGACAAAAAAAAAAAAAAAAAACAGAGAGTCAATGTAACCAATGTTAAATCCGGTTTGATATATACGCACATCAACTGTGTACCTCTGCTTCTTAGGCATTGACTGTCAACAATTGAAAATCCCTAATTCCTTTTCCACATTTTCTCAACATCCAACCAGACGATTGGGTGATTGTAGAGCAAAGTTAAACATGGTCAATTCTAAACCTGTAGCAAAGTCATTGTTGGTGGACACTATATTGTCATTTGGGTTCGCTTGTTCATCTTTCTGCATCTAGTTCGCTTTCAAATTAAAGTTCACATTGAGATTGACAAACTAAAAATGGAGTTTTTCATATATACATGAAAAATATAATAGATTGTTTACTCAGCATAATATAAATGTGTGTGCGCGCATATAATCAAATACCATGATCATATAAAACGCAGATAGTAGAGATAGAGAGAGAGAGAGTGAGTACTTTCTTGGAGGAGTGAGGAAGCTTGGTGACAGGTTTAGCGGCTGAAGAAGAAAAAGAATGTCTGGAAGCTCCAACTCCAAAAGCACTTCCTGGTTTTAGCTTCCCAAACGAACACTCTTTCATGAATTTGAGTGCAAGTCTTGCCATCATTTTCTTTCACTTTGATGAGATATATACCCAGAAGAAAACCTCACAAATTGCACAACCAATTTCAAAATGTATCGTCAAAAGAAGAGATGCACATGCATATACATATATATGTATGTATCGCTAGAGAGAGAAACAATGGCCGTTTATGAGTTAAAAGGATTAAAAAACGAAAAAGAAAAATATGAAATTGATGAACGATGTAAGGGCTTTGTGTGTTCTTATATTGGAAGAGAGGACGAGAGGGGTTTTAGCGAGAGAGAGAGAAGTGGGGGCTGTGGTATGCCCTGTGCCTCCAACCCTCTTGGATTCTGGGTTCATGATCCGTTTCCAACCGGGTACCTTTTTTTTTTTTTTAGTAATATATATATATATGTATGACTCAATCTGATCTGATAATTCCATATAAAAAAAATTATTGATTAATATTATTTTTAAAAATTTATTGAATATTAAATTTGATAACTCGATTTTCTTACCGGACTGATTTTTAAAACAATTTAAAATATAAATTAGAAAAAAGTGAGTGAAAGGAGGAGGAAATATGGGGAAAAATGTATATTTGATTATAATAGGTAAAAGAATTTCTTAGTCGAATAAAAAAAATAGAGAAAAAAAAAATCAATAGAGTGAAGAAAAAAAATGAAATAATTTAATTATTTATAATCGCGATTCATTGAAGGTTAATCCATTGGAGAATTGATTGTTTAAGAATTTTCTTGTGATGTTGTATATAAATACATTCAGTTTTTATAATTTTTTTAATTGAAGGTTAATCCATTGGAGAATTGATTGTTTAAGAATTTTCTTGTGATGTTGTATATAAATACATTCAGTTTTTATAATTTTTTTATGCAAAAATAAAAAATCAAGATTAACCCAAATTTTCAAATTGATATTAGATTCAAGAGCTTGAGTTGAACATCGGGTTGGTTGAGCTTGGATCATAGGTTTTTCACCTTGGTTGGGCTTGGATTAACCTATCATAGTAGTCCAATATAGAAAAAGAGTAACGAATTTTTTCCTTATCAAGATGACTATGATATAAGTGTAAAAATTGATGATTACTAAAAATAAATAATTAAAAAAATCAAAACCATCATATTCATCAATTATCATGTCTGGTGTCCATAAATTTCTTGATCACAGATGAGCAATAGATTATTGCTGTATTTATTTACAATAGTGCCTTAAAAGCACTCTAACACATTATTATCATTGTCCTTGCCTTGGTCTTGTATAAATGTGTGGCACGTGAATTCTCTTCCTAATCTTTTCTATTACATGTTATTTCATTAGTATGTTTATTTCAATATCATTTTTAATAACCTCATTTTTTTTTTTTTTTTATCATCCTTTCTGTCTCTTACTTTCTATTATAACTAGTCTTCTTTTCTTTTCTTTTTTTATCGGGCATCTACGGTGTATGTGCTAAAATCATTTCAGTCTATTCACTTTAATTTTCTTACCAACAAGTGCTACATCTAATTATTCTTTCACACTTTCGGTAGTGATCTTATCTCTCTTATTATCTCTACACATCCATCTTAATATTATTATATTCGCCACATGAATACTTTTTTCTTGTTTCTTTTTTAATGCCCAACACTCTGCTCTATATAGCATAGTTGATTTAATAACGGTACTATAGAATCTCTTTTAATATCAATAAAATTTTCAACTCCCAACTTTCAAAATATGAGATAAGAGTCTTATCATTAAGTTGTTCCTTTGGAGTTTAATGCCTAGGTTAGTTATTGTTAGGGGTTAAAGTTATTTGCAAAATTGTGTTGGTCTCAAATAATTAATAATTTCCTCAAGGCTCGCCTAGAATTGAGCATCCAGAGTTCTTTTTGTTTTAATTAATTAATTAATTAATTAACAATAATGTTTCGAAATGAGAGGTTGGAAAACTGTACACTCATGGACCAACCAGTAGAACTCCAACTTTCAAGTAATGCTGCTACAGAGCGCTCTCGTGAGTTCTTTGCTTTGGATTAAACGCGTTTTGGAGATCTGGAATGAAGATTAATGCATTTAACTTAAAATACTTGGAAGTTATCTAACCTAATGTTTTGGAATAAGAAACAAGATACTTTGATCCGAAACATCAAAACCTTATCTTTGATCTCTACATAGCTTCTCTCTCTCACACTGTATATAGACTAATTTGATTTGGTATAAGAAGCTTGTGCTTTACGCAAAGCAAAATTGTTGTAGAATAAATATGGATAATCAACTTAGAGTAGAGAGGGTGAATAGGTTGCTAATGAACTAAGAAGGGGTGAATTGGTATTTGTATAAACCTTTTTTTCTTTGTTTAATCAATACACGATGTTGACAGATTCAACAAGCTTACACACACTTATAAGTACTCAATGCAATTATAAGGAAAACCCTCTCAATACAAAAAATCATTGGTTCTTGGCCTCATCCAATAAAATCTCCACTAGTTGTATGCAAGTAGTTACACATTCAACTATCTCACTCTCTACACACACCCTTGTACAAGATAAAACATTAACTTTCACAGCCTTTACATACACACTAGCACCACTAAGTGCACTCTACACTCCCTTCGTCCTAAGCAACCCTACTTGGACCCTGCAAGCTCTCACAGCTCACCAAATACATATAAAAAGATATATTACAACAATACTCAAGTTATTACACAAGATAAGAGTGAATAACCATCTCAAAGTATCAATACAAACACCATGCCTTCATTTTGCTGAAACTAGGGTTTGAGGGGTAAAATAGGAATTACGTGTCCCACAAACTCATAAATGAAATCCATAACCTTGTATCTTTATTACATACATGCTCAGATGATAGTCAGGATGAATACAACATGAATACGCAATTACAACTCATATATAGCCTTAGTTCTGCAGAACCTTCAAGAACTAGGGTTTCACAAGGTTAAATTTTGTATTAACCTTATTTTTGTGCAAACCTCAGCTTCAACAGTTTTGATTCAACTATAGAAACTTGCTTAGATGATAATAATGCAACTCATAGCAAGATATAGTGACATTAAGTTTAGATCAATAATAAGCGTTGAATATTGCACATTCGAGCCCTTAAACAAGCATGTGTTGAGACCTTAAGTGATACTTTTATTCAGTTTTATACTCATTTTAGTATATTTGCCTTTTGTAGGTAATTTCCCAAAAAATAGGACAAAATCGTAATTCTGGAGCTTAAAGATTGTTTTTGAAGCTTATGGAGTTGTTCCAAACCATCTAAAGCAAGTTTGGAGTCATTAAGGGGAGTTTAGAGAAGTTCAAGTGCCAGAGCTCGAGCACAAAGTGGATTGAAGCAAGAAAAGTGACTAAGGCAAAAAACTTTAAGCACAAAATAAAAAGCTTGAGCCTTTTCCAAAAAGCTCGAGCACAAATTCCCCTGGGAAGATGAAAAGACGCTTCAGAAATCCAAGATGAAAAAGCTCGAGCCTTTTTATGTCAGGCAAAATTCTTAAGTGCGGATTAAGTCCCAAAAGGGCCCAGATGACCTCAGAAGACCTAAAGCCCATCCAAGAAGGGATAGAAGCCAATTGTTTCTATAGAAGAAGGTGAAAAGCCACAGAAAAACACCTTTTACATTATTTCAGATCTAGCGGCAGCTTTTAGGGTTTTGGGAGTTCTCTCTAAAGATTTGAAGAAGAAGATTCATAGAAGAGGAGTTACAGTCCATAATGATGAGCTCCACACCAACAAAGATGATATCCTCCATCGTCATAAGTAGCTCAATCCTCTTTTATGGCATTGATGTAACCCGAACCCGATTACTATGGTTTGATTGTTCTAAACTTTGGAATTTTCATTATTAATGTATAATTGATTGCATGATTCTTGAGTAATTGACTTAGATCTTCTAAGCAATTGGGTTTTCAATTGAATAAAATTATTTTTTGATAAATTAATCTCTTGTCATAAAATTGATTTTTCTCTAATCAAAATCAGCCTATTCTTATAATTTGAGATTGGCGACTAAGGGCTTCTCATAATAATAAGAATAGAGATCATACAATGGTGCGTAAACTGTTTTTGTGAATGAATGCTTTCATATTTTATACTTAGGGAAGACAAATTATTCTGCAAAATTAGAATAGAAATAGGTAGGAAGATAATTAGTGCCAACCGAAGATAGGTTATTATTAACAAACATTAATGATTTATCTTTCTTAAAATTGAATTAAATTGAATGTTAATGATTTTAATTCTGAGTTATACATAAACATTGAAATCCCAAGGTTGAACAGTTTACCATAGTATGAGGTTCGCGGTGAAATCAATCCCAAAGATCTTCTCTCTCTGATCTTAATCTTTACTTTGTTTAATTTTTGTTCATGCTATTGAATTGCAACATAACAAACACAACTTTCTTCTAAATTAAAATAGAAATTAATTTTAGACTCGATAAAACTACCATAGTCCCTGAGGTTCGACACCCTTTAAGTAGCCCTATCCTGCAAAGGATTCGTACTATTACGAGTGGTAAAATAATACACATCAATCAACAAGCTAAATCAGTAAAACAAGCTAATACGCTGGTCTGAGACATCAAAATCAAATGCAGCTAAAAGATGATAACAAACATACTTTTTGCAGATGTAAAATAATAAGTTACATTTGCCTCAACCTTGTTAGAGCACCATATCAAGCTCAAACCAAACTCAGGCCTTCAAACCAGCTTCTGCACCAGCAAAAATCACAGCAACATGTCTCAATTTGATCATCTACTCTTGTGAATTCTCTAAGTGTATTCTTGAGCTCAAATCAAGCTTTGATCATTACAAATAATCTCAAAAATGTATATTCATATTCAGCTCACTTTTCTCACTCATTGTAGCTTGCATTAGGATTTTCTTGAAGGCTTAAACCCTAGAATAATGCTATAACAACATATATATAGTACACCATGAATACAAATCCTATCTCAGAGAGGAAATGTGTGTGTCACCGTTATCCAATCATTGGCCACGGAATAATATGTAATTCCCTCTATGAATGTACCATAATACCCCTGCTACCTTTATAGAAAATATCTTCTAACATGCAAGCTCATTGACAGCCTTGTGTATGCATATGTATATGAATGTATAACAAACTTAATTGTTGCCCAAGTATTGAATCTAGAGGAGGGATGAATAGAGTTAATGGCAAACTGTGATGGCCCAAGTTTTACAAACCCGGTGCGTTAGTGATGACCCAAAAAATGACCCGATAACTGATCCTGAATGCGAAAGCAAGAAAAGAGAAAGGGTCTCTAGATCATCTCTAAGACACCAAAGTGACTTCCCGAGAAGCCACGAGACCCAAAG